AGGGGCAGAGATAGTCTTTGAGAAGTAACTCTGCCATTTCTCCAGGCTGTCGGCTTCCTGATTAAAGCCTACTTTTCCTTACTTCAACTCTTGTCTCTTAATTATTGGCTATTGGGTGATGAGCAATCGGACCTTTAGGATCTCAGTAACAACTAGTTCAGAATCAGTGAAATACACTGTGCTGTGGAGTGCAAATCAACAGCACAACCTTTATCTTATGCTTACATCTCTCCAAATTCCTCATTCTTGCTTAAAAATGGGTATCTGGAAGGTGGAGTTGAGAGAGTTATCTTGTGGGGCTTTTCATTTTGATTATCTTTTCCTTCTATCCTTACCCTCTTCCTAGTTCCTAGAGACTATGGCCTCTCTCCATGGAGGAGTGGCAGAAACCATGAAACCCCACTGCCCCAACAGGTGGTAGCCCTACCATTTTTCCACACATTTTAGTCTTCTGACCTATGGCTGGGTGTTGAAGAGCAGCTGTGGAAGGGTGGTGCATCCTCTGACACCAGAGCAAGCCTTGCATCTCTTGCCTTTAGCCTTTTCATTAACATATGCTCAAAGATCCTAACCTCTTTTCACTTCCTGCTGGCCAGACACATGTCTGTATACGATATAGTCCCTGTGGCTCTCCTTTGGGTATGTTCTCATCACTTCTGGGCTAGGCCTGTGACCATAAAAGGGATTTATTACAGAGAAACCACACAATTCACTTCCTGCTGGCCAGACACATGTCTGTATACGATATAGTCCCTGTGGCTCTCCTTTGGATATGTTCTCATCACTTCTGGGCTAGGCCTGTGACCATAAAAGGGATTTATTACAGAGAAACCACACAATGCTGGTGTCAGTAAGGGGTTACCAATCCTGCCTCCAGGGCTGTGGAACTATTTACGCAGAGGTTCCTTCTTTTCAGCTCCTGTTCTGACTGGAATCCAAAAGTTCACTTTCAACTACTTTCCTATTTCATTAAAGCCCCTGCAACCTCTTTCATAACCATCAGATTATTTTTTTTTTGAAACAGAGACAGATAAGGAGGCTTGCTGCACAATTATCAAAGTGATACACAAATTCCCTAGCGGTAAAATAAGGTTATCCATTTATCTGGAATCAATGATCTATTACACGCTGTGTTGGTCACTTAAACTAATGAATGCCCTTTTTCATAAACCAAATTTTGTTTTACAAATAGGCTCATAAAAGGTTTACTATTCTTTTTTCTTAGAATCCATAATTTAAAAATAAGAAAATCTTATTCAGTTCTTTATAATTTTATGTTAATTTAACTGCAAAAATATTGAATCTTATATCCATGCTTTCCTCTTTCATGTGAGGATTTTAAAAAATCGCAGTCCATGTCACTTTGTTTACCTCCAAGTTTTGCTCTGATGGAAATGTCTGGTACTTCCCTGGAATTCCATCTTCTGTCCTGTTGAAGTTCTTCGGATAGGATTTTTTGCCTTTTCATTGCTGTTTGAAATCCTGTGTCTGGTCTGGGAACTCGATGTTGAGGTTTCACATCACTGAAATCCACTAGATTTGGTATGGCTCTGCCAATGCCAGGCTTTAAATCAGCATCACCACCAGGACTCATAAATCCTGAACAAGAATCACCTAAGGGCACATCATCTCGAAGTGGAAATAGTGGAAAATCTGGCCCATATGGAGGCGGATAAGGGTAGTATAAATGGTAGTCTGGTAGAACTGAAGGAGGATGAGAGTGAAATTTAAGAAAAGTAGGGTTGCATTTTTTTTCAAATCTGCCATAGTTATGTCTGTCCTCAAATCCTTTCACAAAAGGCATGTTCATTTTTCTAAGGAGATAACAGTAGTGTGGGTAATCTGTATTCTCGACAGCCTTTCTTCCTGAAAGAATGGACCTTTTAGGGATACTTATCTTTCCAGGTGTGTGCTGAGACTCCATATCCATAGCCTTTCTTTTTAGAATTTCTGATTAACTGTAAATTGTTTCTGATGAGTCTTTTCTCTTTAAATATATAAATTCTTTTATTTACAATAATTAAAGATTAGGGTTAACCTAGCATAAAATCGATTCTGCTTTCTAAATGTTGGTAGAATAGGTTTTTTGCGGTTTTTTTTTTTCTTCTTTTTTAAGGTAAAAGTTTTCCTCACCAAAGGAAGGATAGGGCAGAAAAGGAACAGGACAGAAAATAAAAAGCTGAGCCCTGGTTGCTTGGCAACACCTAGAACTCTAAACACATTTATTATGTACATCATAATTCTTAAGAAAAAACAAAAATAGCCTTGGTAGTAATATTTCCATATTTTTTTCCCCAATGCTCAGAAAACCTGTGTTCATTTATTTATTTTTAAAATTTTCCACATGTTGATATTTTATGGGTATAAAATATATTTATATTAAAGAGTATAAATAAGGAAGTTAATTCAGTGACAATATATTTTTTAATGACTATATGACTATAATTCAATATTTACCCTGATATAACAATTTATAACATTTTCTATCTAAATAAATGTAAATTTAAGTGCGCCTCAAAACATAAATGTCTATTATTCTAAAGTTAATTGGTATATCTAATTTTTTTTTTTCCTTTTTGTCTTTTTTCGTGTCCGGCAACGGATCGCAACCCTCAGTGTCGCGCCTGTACTGGACCGGGACCGGCAACGGGATCGCAACCCTCGGTGTCGCGCCCGCACCTCGCTCAGCCAGTGAGCGGGAACCGGTCTGTATGTGGGATCCGAACCCTCGGCGGGAGCGCCGCTGCACTCCCAAGCGGCACACTGGAGCAGTGCGCCACCGGGCTGGCCCGGTATATCTAATTTTTAAGGAAAATAATTCACAGATTATAGTCAAAGTATAGGTTAATCCTTTACATGCCCTGAATTATCTTTACTTCCATTAATGCTACCACGATGTCCAGAGCGAGAGTGAAATAAGGTCTCATTTAAATCATTAATATGCTAGTTCACTTAAAAGCTCTTTTCAAGTACGTAGTTTGGTTTTGCATGGCAACTGCTACCACATGAATTCCAAACATTAGAATTTGGGGATAAAAGCTCACATCACCTTTACCGCAGCAAAGAGGGAGAAACAGGAAGATTCTAGCTTTGAAGAGCCAGGCACATAACATGTAAATTATGTAATAAGACAGCAAGGGGTGGTGATATCTGTGGTGTAAACAAAACACCTATGCCCTACCTAAAGCTATTAAATTTTTCAGATATATTACTACTAACAACAGGGGAGGTTGAATTAGGCAGTTAAGCCATCAGTTTGAAACCCTTCATCCACAGCATCATATACCCAGTAAGTTTTTAGTCCACTCAGAATCACTCATTTCTTCATATTAAAGGTGACAATCATTTGTCATTAGGCATTCTATCTTTAGTTGGACAAACTTCATTCTTCCATGTATTTGCACCAACTGCATAAGACTTATTTCTACTTTATTTCTCTTTTTGTTAAGTAAATCCTTCTAGAAACTGAAAAGTAGAGACACAATTCTCTTCCAATTTCTCTAAAACAAGTATAAATGGACTCAGGCTGTGTAGGGGATAAATAATAACACTCATGGGTTCATAATTAGAATGGATTACTGTTACAAAAGACAAACTAACAAGAGAAAAATTGAAATTTATTAAAACATATATTTCATATACACATGGGAAACACCAGAGTATTAGTTCTCAAAGAGGTGGTTTTGAATACCAGTACATTTTTATATGGAAGTGACAAGACAAAGGAAAAGGACTTTGAGCCTCTGTGGGCAGCAACTTGGGGTAAAAGGCAAACAAATGGCATACTAGGGTTACTTAGAAAAGCCTACTAATATAAATTCCTCTGGTATCATCTCAAGGCTGACAAAGGTCTAAACTGTCCTCTGTTGTTAACCTTTGTTCTGCCTGGTAGAGGGGAGAGGCAGAATACCTTCTGTCTTTGTAAATCCATGTCCTGCTTTTAGGCAAAGAAGGGAAGGCAGAGAGCTCTGCTGCATCCACTGCTTCTGTCTGCAGCTCAACAATCCCTGTATTCTGAGGAGGCTGTGGGGAAAACAGGATAATTTAGTCAGGTTCTCTCAGCTCAGGTCTGGTTGGAGGTATCCAGCAGCACATTCTTAATTCTTGTAAACAAGTTGTGTGTGGGTGGAGTTAGAGCACATGTGCGCCAATGTATCTTTCTATGTAATCGCTTTTGTGTGTTCTTGGTTTGTGAAGCAGAGCTGGCCGGCAGAGCTCGGGTATAAAAATAGAGCATGTTTACTCTGCTGGCAGCTGCTCAGTTTTTTCTTTGGACTTTGCTGGTAGCAGTTGAGTTCTGAGTTTCTCTTGGTACTATCTAGCTCTTAGATGTGTGTGTGCTGAATAAAGATTATTGCTTCTTCAACCAAGGCTCCAAGGACCTTTTTGCCAGTTCCCTAGCTCATAGACCTGTGTGTGAAGGGTTTGTGAATGGGCTCCAGGGGTCTGTGAGCTCCAGACCCAGCTCTATCTCTACAGAAGTATATTCTGGTCTCCCACATTTGATAAGTGATTTTATATGTTTTTCTAAATTTAGGTAATAGATCTTCCAGGCAGAGTACTGCATGAAACTCAATCTCATCTGACGTTGTTTCTTCCATTCTTCCATCAAGCTTCTTCCTGGGGCTAAAGGCCTTACCGTTAATTCTCACTAGATGTGCACTGCATTTATATCCCAATTAAGTTGTGCACATGCATAAAGCACTAGTTGCTGACATTACTAGATCCCGGTAATTCTCTGACAACTGTATGTTCATTAACTCATAATTTCCCACTATCTGTTATTCAGAATTAACCCCCAAACCGTGAGACTCAGTCTGCCACCTGGTTTACTAAAAAAGGGCCTTTCCACTACCACAAACATCATGTAAAGGAAACAGTGCTGGCTCTTGGAGCCAAGGTACCTCTCCCAGCTCCGGGATCTTCGACATGTCGCTTATGCTAAGATTCTCCGAGTGGCGAGTGGCGTTGTTGTCCTGGCGCCCTAGTGGATGCTCAGCATGTGGGACGAACGCTGCCCCCTCCAGCAGCGTCAGGAGACAGGCCCACAGGTCCGCGCCAAGCCCTGGTCGACCACCCGGCGGAAGTGGCGGCGTCCGTACGGTACGCTCTTCCGGTCCACAGCCCCCCAACTTCCGGTGGCGGGTGGGCGCGCACCGTGGTAACGACCTTCTGCGTGGACGGCAGGCAGGCGGCGGTGGCGTGTGGATGGAGGCCTCGTCG